TCTCTCTCTCTCTTCTTTCACTATCTCTCATTTCTCTCTCTCCTCTCATTTTCCCTCTATTATTCTCTCTCCTCTTTCTTTCTCTCTGTTTTTCTCTCCTTTCTCTCCCTTCCTCCTTCCCTCTCTCTTTCCGCTTTCCCTCTTTCCCTGTCTCCCTCTTTTCCTCTATTCTCTCCCTCTCTCCCTCCCTCCTTCCCCCATTCTCTCTTTCTCTCCCTCCCTCTCTCCATCTTTGCCTCCATTCTCTCCCTCCCTCCCTCATTCCCTCCCTCCTTCACTCCCTCCTTCCCTCCCTCCTTCCCTCCCTCCATTCCCTCCCTCCTTCCCTCCCCCCTTCCCTCCCTCCATTCCCTCCACCACCATGAGCAACCGATCCCTTGCACAAGCCTCTCCCCAAACACCCACATGATTCATCTCCCAGCTTCCTCACCCGAGAATCTTTTTTTTTCTTCACAACTCCATGCAATCCTCTTCTAGGAAAGTAGGGGAAAGAGAGACAGAAACAAGGGAAAGGAGGAACAAGAGATCTGCCTCGTTTGCAAAGGACGTTTTAGGTTTTAGAATGTCATTTGAATGTCTGTGACGCGCCTGTCTGTTGACAAAGACACACGAGAACCGGCCAGACATAAAGCTTTATCCCGAGTGGTCCGTGAGAGGCACGACTGGAGGGCATATGTGGAGCTCTCTTCTATTCTGCTGTATTGATCTAGTCATTTGACATTGCTATTTGTGTTAGTATCTGTGCGTGTGTGTGTGTGTGTGTGTGTGTGTGTGAGTGTGTGTGTGTGTGAGTGTGTGTGTGTGTGTGTGTGTGTGTGTGTGTGTGTGTGTGTGTGTGTGTGTGTGTGTGTGTGTGTGTGTGTGTGTGTGTGTGTGTGTCTGTGTGTGCGTGTCTGTGTGTGCGTGTGTGTTTGTGCGTGTGCGTGTGCGTGTGCGTGTGTGTGTGTGTGTGTGTGTGTGTGTTTGTGTGTGCATGTGTGTGTGTGTGTGTGTGTGTACGTGTGCATGTGCGTGTGCATGTGTGTTTGTGTGTGTATATATTCCCGTACCTATGCGTCTGCGTGTGTGCGTGCGTGTGTGCGTGCGTGTGCGCGTGTATGTGCGTGTGTGTGTTTGTATATGTGCCTGTTCCTGTACCTATGCGTCTGCGTGTGCGCGCGTATATGGTTGTGCATGAATACCAGGAGATGGCCACATGGACGAAATTTATGCACGTAATCAAAAACAAAATCGTGACTTGGAAGAAAACAATCTCATCACAAACACACACACACTCACATGCACACACTCACACACGTGGCTTGCGAGAATCATATACACGCAAACCACGTGACTAAGAACCCTGCATGTTAACAAAGATCTTCTGGGTATTAAACGTGAGTCCAACGGCCTCCGGCATATGAACAACACGAGACACTATGATAATGTATCCTTTGGTGCTAAATGATACGTGATATGGGGGGTAAAACTGCAGATACTTGGGTGAGGAGGGGAGAGGGGAAGGGGAAGGCAGGAGGGGAAAGAGGAAGAGAAGAGGGGAAAGGGAAGGGGAGGGCAGGAGGGGAAAGGGGAAGGGGAAGGCAGGAGGGGAAAGGGGAAGGGGAAGGCAGGAGGGGAAAGGGGAAGGGGAAGGCAGGAGGGGAAAGGGGAAGGGGAGGGCAGGAAGGGAAAAGGGAAGAGGAGGGCAGGAGGGGAAAGGGGAAGGGGAGGGCAGGAAGGGAAAAGGGAAGAGGAGGGCAGGAGGGGAAAGGGGAAGGGGAAGGCAGGAGGGGAAAGGGGAAGAGAAGAGGGGAAAGAGGAAGAGAAGAGGGGAGAGAGACCCTGTTTTACAAAAAAAATGAAAAAGATACGAGCAGAGGAAAGTAATGGTTTTGAACAGCTGTTGACGTTAAATTTTATTTCATTTATAACTTGCTGTCTCTTGCGAATTTGTGATTACAGGGGAAGAGGAAAAATAAGAAGAGGAAGAGGGAGAAGGAGAGGAAGAGGAAGGAAGGAAACAGAAGAGGGAAAGATGGCGGAAGTAATCAGGGGGAAAAATGATAAAATGAAGAAAAGAGAAGGAAAGAAGAAAGGCGTGAGAAGTGAGATAGAAAGAACACGAAGAAGAAAAACGAAAGGGAGATTAAAAGAAGAAAAAGGGAAAGATAACACCAACAGTAACAACAAAAATAATAACACCAACAGTAACAACAAAAATAATAACACCAACAGTAACAACAAAAATAATAACACCAACAGTAACAACAAAAATAATAACACCAACAGTAACAACAAAAATAATAACACCAACAGTAACAACAAAAATAATAACACCAACAGTAACAACAAAAATAATAACACCAACAGTAACAACAAAAATAATAACACCAACAGTAACAACAACAACATCGCCACCCCCACCACCACCCCCACCCCCACTCCTACCACCAACACCACCCCCATCCCCAACCCACCCCCACCATCACACCCACCACCACCACAAACCCCCCCAACACCTCCCCCCCCCCCCAGCACCCACCTGCTCCAAGGGCACGGCTTTGGACTCGGGGAAAGTGATCTTCTTGTAGTCCGGCAGCTCGGAGAGGCCCGGCCACGTGGACTCGCTCGGGGTGCCCAGGATCTGCAGCACAACGCACAGCTGGTCGATGTCGCTCTCGCCCTGCGGAGGGAGGAGGGGGAAGGGGAAGGGGAAGGCAGGAGGGGAAAGAGGAAGAGAAGAGGGGAAAGAGGAAGAGAAGAGGGGAAAGAGGAAGAGAAGAGGGGAAAGGGGAAGAGAAGAGGGGAAAGGGGAAGGGGAAGGCAGGAGGGGAAAGAGGAAGAGAAGAGGGGAAAGAGGAAGAGAAGAGGGGAAAGAGGAAGAGAAGAGGGGAAAGAGGAAGAGGAAGGAAGGAAACAGAAGAGGGAAAGATGGCGGAAGTAATCAGGGGGAAAAATGATAAAATGAAGAAAAGAGAAGGAAAGAAGAAAGGCGTGAGAAGTGAGATAGAAAGAACACGAAGAAGAAAAACGAAAGGGAGATTAAAAGAGAAAAAGGGAAAGACTGTGAAAGAAAGAAAATGCGAAAGAAAGAAAATCGTGAAAAAAGAGAGAGAGAATGCAAAAGAAAGAAAAACAAAAGAAGACAGAAAAACGCCCCCCCCCAAAAAAAAAAGAAAATATTAATAATAAAAAATAAAAGAAGAACATCTAAAATGAAAAGGAAAAAAAGCTGATAATGAAAGAGATGCAACATTTCACTGGCACAGGTGTTGCATACTTAACCTTGAACTTAAGTAACTCTTTCTGTATCTAATTAAAGTTTCAGTGCGTTTACCTGACTCTATTATATCTCTTAAATCTAGTGATGTGCAAAACAAGGATGGTGATTATAAAAAATCCAACAAAAATCAAATCAACATCAGCAACAATAACCACAACAGTAACAACAAAAATAATAACACCAACAGTAACAACAACAACATCGCCACCCCCACCACCACCCCCACCCCCACTCCTACCACCAACACCACCCCCATCCCCAACCCACCCCCACCATCACACCCACCACCACCACAAACCCCCCCAACACCTCCCCCCCCCCCCAGCACCCACCTGCTCCAAGGGCACGGCTTTGGACTCGGGGAAAGTGATCTTCTTGTAGTCCGGCAGCTCGGAGAGGCCCGGCCACGTGGACTCGCTCGGGGTGCCCAGGATCTGCAGCACAACGCACAGCTGGTCGATGTCGCTCTCGCCCTGCGGAGGGAGGAGGGGGAAGGGGGAAGGGGAAGGGAGGAAGGGAAGGGAGGAGGGAAAGGGGAATGGGGGAGGGAGGAGGGAGGAGGGAGGAGGGGAGGAGGGGAGGAGGGGAGGAGGGGGAATGGGGAAGGGAGGAGGGGGAAGGGGAAGGGAGGTGGGGAAAGGGGAAGATAAGAAGGGAAGGGGAAGGGTAAAGGGAGGATGGGTATGGGAATTTGAAGGAAGGAAAGGGAGATAGGGAAGAGATGGGAAGGGAAGGAGAAGTAAAGGAAGAATAGGCAATAAAAAAGAAGAATTGGGTGTCAGCGAGGGACAACGAAGGAGGAAGAGACGGGGAAGAAAATAAGAAACCATTAGCTTTCGGCACCAAAATAGTCCTACTAAAAAATACACACACAACCAAATTGAACATTAAAAAAACAAACAGACAAATTCCCTTATCATAAATATTCGGTACCAACACACTTCAAATAATTAATCTTATCTACTTTATCTCGCCTTTATCTATCGCACGTTTCCTATCTATCAATTCAACATTCAACATGATATTCAACACATGAATTACACTCGAACACCCCCCCCCCTTCCTCCCCCTTGAATAACGTGAGTTCCTTTTATGTTGAAAAAAGTTTATGAGTCAAGGTGTTAAATTAACTATTCATTGGAGGTGCGAATTCTGATAAAGATAAAGGCTTAATTATCTGTATTTTCATTCTGTTTTAAGACTTTGGACTTAATTTTCTTATTTTCTATTTCATTTTATTTTTTTCTCCACACTCCTTAACTTAAAGAGACTCCATTAACTCCTCATAAACACCCCTATTCCCTAATATATTCCATCGCTTCTTAACAGAGAGAAGTCTGTTCGATTCACCCTCCCTCCCCCACCCCCCCACCCTACACTCCCCTCCCCCACCTCTCCTACCCCTTTCCTATTCCCACGCCCCGCACATCGTTAAAACTATGTCACTATCTTCATTACTATCACAGTTACTAATCACTATCATCATCCTTACACCCATCACCACTATTTCATTAAAACTGTCACTAACTCCATTACTATTACCATTTTTTATCCCTATCACCACCCTTACCATCATCAGCATCATCACCATCACCCTTACTCTCATCACCATCATCACTATCACCCTTACTCTCGTCACCATCATCACTATCACCCTTACTCTCGTCACCATCATCACTATCACCCTTACTCTCATCACCACCATCATCACTATCACCCTTACTCTCATCACCATCAT